AGGTCCTGGAAGGTCACGATTTCGCCCCCACTGGCCCGTGGTGGGTGGGGGAGCATCGCAATCATCCTGGAAGGCTCACTCGGACCCTTGTGACGCTCCCCCCCACGGGGCAGCGGGGGCAAAATCGTGGCCTTCGCTCCATAAGAGGCACAGGCTCCCCCCACTTTTTTTGGGGGGGAAGAGCGTCTTATGGAGCAAAAAATACGGTAATTCTAGTCGGGAACAAGGCATATGCACGGGTGTGCGCAACTCCACCTCATGCCGTGCAGCTCTTTTCCTCCTCCACACAACGATCTTGTTTACCTCCTTTGGTTCTAGTCATGATGGAACCCCTGCACGCGGGTGGGGGAGCAGAGTTGCGTGCGCACGCAGGGGTGAAGTCCTGCACGCGGGTGGGGGAGCAGAGTTGCGTGCGTACACAGAGGTGAAGTTGTGTGAGAGGCGGAGCCCTGCCCAGTGGGACTGAAAATTAGAGGGTACATTGGTCGGGAGCAACACACCCTCTAGCTTTCAGCTTCACTGGGTGGCGATCCGGCTCTCATGCTTGCAACTTTGCTCCTGCATGCGGGCACGACTCCTGCACTCACGCAGGGTTCCCTTGCGACCAGAACCTAACGTGACCACTGTGCGGAGGGGGAAGACAGCTGTGTGGAGGGGGGCAGAGGCACACACACAGGAAGCTATGCTTGTTTCTAGAGAAGGTTGATTTGACCACAGCAATATATATTCTATAGAAGTCAATCTGGACTACTGAAATACACTGCATGGGCCTATCTTTGAAAAGTGTCTGGGATTTCAGCTTGGTCAAAACGCTCAGGTATAAGACATAGTCCAGACCAGTGTCAAGCATAGGAATCCTAAGACTAAAAAACTGCACCTTAGTTGTCATGGTCACAGTTCCAAGTGCTGTTGCGACACTGAGTTACAGTGTGATCCGAGATCCCACAGGTGTCAATCTGGATAGCTTAGTGGTTTGAGTATCTGGCTCTTCAGCCAAAGGTTGGGAGTTTGGTTCCCTGTGGTACCTCCTGTGAGAGGAGCCAGACTGTGTGGCCTTGGGCAAGCTGCACAGTCCCAGGATGTCTCCAGAAGAAGGGTGTGGCAAACCACTTCTGAGCATTCTCTACCGGGAAAAGCCTGAAAAAGGGTTGCAGTCAGGCAGAACTGTTGGGTAAGGGTAAGATGGTGGTGGTTATAGTCAGTCTAGATGTAAAAATAATTCACAGAGTGCTTTTTATTTATTTTTATTTATTTTTGTGAATTCTAAACCATTATTTGTTTTGTCTTCTTGTCTCCTCATTAGGATTTTTTTTCTCCTTCAGCAGTTTGACTTTTTCTTTACCCAAAGTAGTGTACTATCTTTTTGTTTCTGATATTTATCACTGATCCTGTTTGTAATTTTTTCTGTTGGTTTTTTTTTGCTTGCTATATTTTATTAGGCTTCATTGTATTTTATAATTTCTGCTATGATACATCTTTAACTACATGAGGAAAAGTGGAAGATATGTATTTCAAATAGTAAATAAAAGAAAAAATATTGTGTGCTTAAAGCAAGAAAATAAGGCTAGCATTTGAGAGATCTAGTGAATTTTTAAAAAATAGTTACTAGTAGTTTTCAAAGCCACTAAATAGACAGTGGTTAAATATTTATGAATTACAAAGCTTATTTTTTTTAAAAAAAATCAGCTTGTTTAAGAAGTAGCAAGGAAATATCAGATATTACAGTTTTAGTTAGAAGTGGAACAAAATCATTTGGATCAGGTGGGCAATGTGGTCCTCCAGGTATTGGACATCCACTGCCATCATCCCTAGCCAACATAGCCAAAGGTGAAGATTGCTGGACATGACAGTCCTACAATATCTGGAAGGTTGCAGTTTGTCTGTCAAGGTTATAGATAATTAAAATGTTAGTAGCTCAAGCTGTAAGTAAAGTCATGGTTGAGATTATTGGGTCCATCTGAGATTACTGCTCAGCTAATTAGGGGTACACTTACACCTGGATCCTCTCTGTTTGGGAAGCGAGCAGTCCTTCAGGAGACCTTGTTTCTGACACCTGTCCACTCTAAAGCATTGGTAGTTCTGTGGAAAACAATGGTTTCTTAAGAGGTAAGGATAGAGTTTGGAATGGTGTTTCTTTTAGCAATCTTTAGAATTCAGGTAGTGAGCAAAGTCGTTTGTAAAAGTATGATGTCATTGCAGTCTGTAAGAATTTCCAAGGAAAAATCAATGTGAAATAAGTTGGTACATGTTGTTTACATGAACATTATTTATGCACCAGTAGTAGGCATCCTTCAGTCTCTAGAGACTATGGTAAAGTGCTCTCTATGGAGGCCTTGAAACAGCATCTAGTGTGGCTGAGAAGGCCAATTCGAGAGTGACAATCCCTTCCACACTGAAGACAAATACAATCTGTTCCCTGTCCAGCTCCCTGATTTTGCTGGTTTCAGGACTGCCTCTGCCTTGGCCTGCTGAACAAGAGTCTCTTCAAATTGGGAGAGGCCATGCTGCACTGCCTGCCTTCAGTCTGAACACTCAGACGTCAAAGTTTCCCATCTGTGGAGGTCCATTCCTAAGTCCTTCAGATCCCACTCGCAGATATCCTTGTATCGCAGCTGAGGTCTCCCTCTGGGGCGATTTCCCTGCACTAATTATTCATACAGGAGATCTTTTGGCATCCGACCATCAGCCATTCTCACGACATGCCTGAGCCAACATAGGCGTCGCTGTTTCAGTAATGTATACATGCTGAAAATTCCAGCTCATTCTAGGACTACTCTATTTGGAACTTTGTCCTGCCAAATGATACCAAAAATGCGTCAGAGACAATGCATATGGAATGTGTTCAGCTTCCTCTCCTGCCATGCACATAGGGTCCAGGACTCACTGCAGTACAGGAGTGTGCTCAGGACACAGCATTTATAGACCCGGATCTTGGTATATGCCATCAGCTTCTTATTAAGCCATACTCTCTTTGTGATTCTAGAGAACATGGTAGCTGCTTTGCCAATGCATTTATCCAGCTTGATATCTAGGAAGAGCGTGTCAGAGATCATTGAGCCAAGGTACACAGAGTCATGAACAACTTCCAATTCTTGCGTAGAGATGGTAATAGAGGGAGATGAGTCCATGCCCTGGCCCATGACTTGTGTTTTCTTCAGGCTGATTGTTAGTCCAAAGTATTGGCAGGCCTTGCTAAAACGAGTCATGTGTTGTTAGAGGTCTTCAGCAGAGTGGGCAACAATGACTGCATCATCGGCAAAGAGGAAGTCCCGCATGCATTTCAGCTGGACTTTGGTCTTCGCTCTCCATCTAGAGAGATTAAAGAGCTTTCCATCTGATCTAGTCCGGAGATAGACACCTTCTGTTGCAGTTCCAAAGCCATGTTTCAGCATGACAGCAAAAAAGATCCCAAACAGTGTCGGTGCGAGGACACAGCCCTGTTTCACTCTGCTTCGGATGTCAAAGGGATCTGATGTTGAGCCATCAAAAACTACAGTGCCCTTCATTTCCTCATAAAAGGACCTGATGATGTTAAGGAGCTGAGGTGGACATCCAATCTTGGGAAGTACAGTATTTTAAAAAGGCCATCCCTGCTAACCAAATCAAAGGCCTTTGTGAGATCTATGAAGGCCACAAAGAGTGGCTGTTGTTGTTCCCTACATTTCTGTCTGAGGGGAAATACCATGTCGGTGGTGGATCTATTAGCTCGAAATCCACACTGTGATTCTGGATAGACTCTGTCTGCAAGCACCTGGAGTCTCTTCAGCACAACATGGGGCAGCAGCTTCCCTACAATGCTGAGAAGAGAGATAACCATGGTAGTTTTACAGTCGCCCCTGTCTCCTTTGTTCTTATACAATGTGATGATGTTTGCATCCTTCATATCTTGTGGTACTCCACCTTGCCTCCAGCAAAGACAAGATTTCATACAGCTCGGTGGTGATGATCTCTTTACAGCACTTCTGCTGTACTCTGCTGAGATCCATTGTCTCACCTACTGTGTGGAGTGAAAGAATCCTGTCTCTGCAGCTCCACTCATCAGTGGGACCGGTCACCCTCATTAATGCATTATGCACCAGTAAGGAGATGCAGTAAATATTTAGTTGATCAAATACTCTAGTATAAGTCGAATGAAGTCAGTTGATGAAGTCAGTTACTTCCCTAGTTAATCCCCACTGTTTTTTTTTTTAATTTTTGATAAACCATGCTACATATTCTGCATTGTGATCAAATAAGTTGGGTTGTAGCTGACTCTTATCCATCACTAGTAACATAGAAACAGAATATATTTCTTGTTCTGCAAAGCCTGCTCTCATTGCTCCAAATCTGCTCCCCGAGATTGGGGGACTCTCAGGAGTTGATCTGTGGAGGCCTTGGCAGGGGAGGTCAAGGCATTTGTATGATTTGGATGTTACCCACTGAGTTCTGTTTGTTCAGGCTTTGGAGCCAGGCCAGTCATTGCAGAGCCAATGCTAAACAAAAGGTTTGGTGTAAAAACACAACATGGGGTTTAAAAGATAGGGCTGTCATAGAGAATCATGCTAACATCTCCTGTGATAGTGAGAGTTTATATAGCCAGTATGACTCCTGTTTTGCCTTTCTAATCAGGCACTTGTAAAACCTACTGACCATATCTGGAGAACCATCTCTTTTCTGCTGGGTAGAATGTGAGAACTTTAGGCTCTGATCTATTGTCTTCACTTCAAGTTTTCTATTTCACTTGGTCCCTTTTTCAATGGATTGCAGGGACTCCTCTGTGTTCCTCATGTTGCTTTAAGTAGAGCAGCTTCTGCCAGCTCTTCTACAATAAAATGTCCAACAACAGAGTAGTAGATGATACATGCAAGCTGGCCTCTTCAAACCATTCTACTTACGATTGAAAGAAATGACCATCCCCTTTCTTGCATTTGTGTTACCTAAAAGTCGATTCATAGATATTATAGGTGAAAATAAAATAAAAATAAATTCCCCTTCTACAACTACTACTCAGAGATGTTATAAACCAGGATTGGGATTTTTGGAAATTTAGAACTTCCAGAAAAACATCTGCTTTGCTTTCTTCTTCTTCTCTCTCAGAAATCTGCCTAGGAGTTTCTAGGAGAGGATTCAAAAAATCCTACCTCTACTGTAAATTATACCTGTTCCTTCTGGAGATACAGATTTAACAGTAACCATGTGTTCCTCAGTAATATTATCTACTGCTAAAAAAAATCAAATAATTGATGATGTAGCAGGCTTTCTACTGTCTGTCCCCCTATGCACATTTTCATTTTGACCACTTGTGCAACGGGGTATTCACTATCCCCTTGTACATGTTGAAGCTCTGTTGCTTTAGATCAGGGGTTTTAAACTCAATTTACCTGGGGGCCGCTAGAGGCAGAGTCTGGGTGAGGCTGGGCCGCATCAGATTTTCCGCCAAGCGGAGCAAGAGCCCGAGGAAGCCGCCCAGGAGTTCCCTTAGCCGACAGACAGGTGGGCTGGCTGGCAGGCTGCAGTTCTGGAGGATGCAAGAGGTGCTGTCTTGGGAGAGAGCCGGCGAGCGAGGCAAGGCTTTTTTTTAACTCTTGACAGCAGAGGATGTGTGGGCGCTTTGGGGGGGCAGGTAAGGCGAGGGCCACAAACTATCATCTGGGGGGCCGCAAATGGCCCCCGGACCGCATGTTTGAGACCCTTGCTTTAGATGGAGCTTCAGTATTTGACTAACACAACAGTGAATCAGAAGTCATGAAGTGTTGCTCCTGCTGGGCATAACACACCTAATTTCCTGACAGAATTCTGGCGTGTCTAAGCAGGCCCCTGTGTGTGTGTGCGCATGTGTGCGTGCGCGGCCCTTTTCAGGGTTTTCTAGGTAGACAGTACTCAGAAGTGGTTAACCATTCCCTTCTTGTGGGGGCATCCAGGAACTGCGCTGCTTCTACTGGCACTGTGGGACCATATCGCTTGCTTAAGGCAGTGCGAGTGGTAGGGCACATTACCTTGATAACCACACCTTCCAGGTAGTCTTGGCTGGACCCTGTCCTAGGAGGCACTTTGGTGGTTCAAACTCCTAGCATCTAGCTCTGTGGCCAGGTGCTCCAGTCCACAGAGCTATACTGGCACTACATAGTATATATAGAAAAGTGTGTTATGGCACATTTTGAAATAAAATACGTAAGCCTAAACAGGCACATGATGTTCGCACATTTTTCTTTTAAGTTACAAACGAATGCTAGCACTCCAGTTCAGGAGAAATAAGCTGGCTTCATTCAAAACAATAGCAAACAATGTTTAACACGTATCTGTTGCCTCAGCCACTTAATTGAAATCCCCATTAAGCTACTGGCTTCTACAGCCACTGATCTTATTACTAGCAATGGGATGAAAGAAACAGAACCAGCTTTCTCCAGAGACAGGGAAGTTTACTGCTTTGAGGAATAGGAAGCTCTCCTAAGATTGTTTCAGGCAATGAATTTGTCCTGAATCAGATCTGCACCATGGTTGCAAATTGTAAACACTCTCAAAACGTTTCCTAAGTTGCAATATGTCAGGATTTGGTGCCCTCAATTGGATTTTTTTATTGTATTATTGTTAAAAAAAAGATATTGAATGTGTTGGTAGTGGTACGTATGTAAATTGAATGCCAGAAACCACTACAATGGTGCTTTTCATATGGTTATAAAATTATCATTTGACAAGGAAAAAAGTATATAAAATCCTCTCTTAAGTTATCCAAGGATAAGGGAAGGTCTCTCTGATCATTTAACTGTAGGAGAGAGAAAATGGTAATCTAGTCCTGTGGGTAGCATTGCAGCTGTATTTCATAGGTAGGTCATGGACTCATTGGGTCACATTTCCACAACTTTGTGGTCCTATGTAATACAGGAATGCCAACCTACATGGGCTGTTTCAATAGATAAACTGAATGAAAATAAGGGGTGTACTTGTTATACTAATGCAGCAAAGGTTAAATAGTTCATTATTTTTACTTTTGTAATCATGTAGATGGAGTACCGTGTTCCCAGAATCCAACAGCTGCCATAGAAGCATGGATTGGCTTTAATAAAGAAGAGCGTGCAGATTTTTTGGAGATACTGCGATCAAGTTTAAAGGTATCTGATCAAATACATGTTTTTTGTTTGGGGAAGACCAGTAAAGGTAGAGGTATATAAAATTGTTCATGATGTGGTGAAAGTAGATAGGGAGACTTTTTTCTCTTTATTGTAGAAGATTCCAGGTTATCCAGTGAAACTGAAAAGTGGGAGAACTCCAAATGGATAAAAGGAGGTACTTTATACATCCCATAATTACACTGTCCAATTCAGTACAAGATGTAAATTCCCTATAAGATGGCCTCCAACGTGGACAAGTTTAAATAAACTTACTAAGTGTAATGGTTAGTTTGATCATGATGGCTATGTATTATTTCCAGTTGCTGGGATACATACACAGGTTAATGCTGTTGTGCTCATATTCTGCTTGTGGGCTTCTCATAAACAACTGGTTAGCAACAGAGGGAACAAAATGTTAGACTAGATAGGCCTTTTGGCTTATGCCACAATCTTACATTCTTAATCCTCTTGGTGTTTCATCTCTACCTCTACTATACAGTGGTGCCTCGCTTAGCGATCGCTCCGTTGAGCGACGAAATTGCTTAGCGACGGAATTTTTGTGATCGCTTTGCGATGGTCCCTATGGGGTTTTTCGCTTTGCGATGATCGCGGGGAAGCGATCATGGCAAAATGATCCTTTTTAAACAGCTGATCGGCAGTTTCAAAATGGCTGCCGGGAAAACAAAATGGCCACCTGCTATGTTTCCTCGCTTTAGAGGCACCGAAAATGGCCGCCCCATGGAGGATCTTCGCTTAAAGGTTAGTTTTTAGCCCATAGGAACGCATTAATCATGTTTTAATGTGTTTCTATGGGCTTTTTAATATTGCTTAGCAATGAAATCACTTAGCAACGTTTTTTCTGGAACGGATTAACGTCGCTAAGCGAGGCACCACTGTATAATGAAATGTAGAAATGTAGCTATGGCTTCAGAAACAGAGCTTTAGCATGTATAAGGGGATAGTGAATGATCAAAACATAGAATGCTCTTAATGCTGGACTTCATTTTTGGCAATTAGTTCATTGTGAAAATATTACTTGCCAGTGTGGTGCTTCCACAACTGTCTTTTGTATATTTAGTTTGAGATACAGGATTTTGATGGACCTTAGGGCTATTGTTTGGCTGGTAGATTGCCTAATATTGTGTAGCAACCTAAAGCATGTGCAATGATTTAATAAAAAGCAGGTTCTTATCTGAATTGTGAAACCCCAAACCTAATGTATTGGGCTGATAGCAGGAAAGTTCATGTACCTTTTCTTATGTTGCTTCTCAATTCAATTTGTGAACATAGACCTATACAAGGCTAATGGATGTTCCATTTGTTCCTTAGGAAATCGGAGAGAATGTTCATATCTACCTGATTGGAAAGGAGTCTTCTCGTACACATTCTCTTGCTGTCTCCCTCCATTGTGCAGATGACGACTCTATCAGTGTTAGTGGTCAAAACAGCTTGTGTCACCAAATCACTGCAGCTTGTAAGCATGGTAGTGACCTCTATGTTGTTGGAGGATCCATTCCACGGCGCATGTGGAAATGCAATAACACCACAATAGACTGGGAGTGGTGTGCTCCCCTGCCCCGTGACAGGCTCCAACACACTCTGGTTTCTGTGCCTAGCAAGGATGCAATTTATTCCCTGGGCGGCAAAACACTGCAAGATATATTGTCCAACGCTGTCATATACTACAGAGTGAGAGATAATGTATGGACAGAGACTAGCCAGCTGGAAGTAGCGGTGTCTGGGGCTACTGGTGTCAATCTCAATGGCATCATTTATTTGTTGGGTGGGGAGGAGAATGACCTTGACTTCTTCACGAAGCCTTCGCGGCTGATCCAGTGCTATGACACCAACACTGAGAAATGCCACGTGAAGCCTTATGTGTTACCTTTTGCAGGCTGCATGCATGCTGCAGTGCACAAGGACCTGGTGTTCATAGTAGCAGAGGGGGATTCTCTTCTGTGCTACAACCCTCTGCTAGATAGTTTTACCCGGCTTTGCTTGCCAGATGCTTGGAGCTCAGTACCATCCCTCTGGAAAATAGCTAGTTGTAATGGGAACATCTACATCTTTCGGGATCGTTACAAAAAAGGAGATACTAACACCTTCAAACTCAATCCAGCGACCTCTGTGGTGACAGTCACTAGTGGCCTCAAAGTGCTACTCACAAATCTGCAATTTGTGTTGGCCTGAAAGAAGAATTAAGCACCAAGACAATGGAGACATTCCATTAAGCAGATCAGAGATGTATAGATCTTCCCCAGGTCCTGCTCCTTGAGACAGATCACAGAAAAGTCAGAGAGCTCTTCCCATCCAGTGGCTCCTCATAAGCAGCAGCAACATCATAACTTGCTGTCACTAGCACTTAATTAGTGCAGCCTGGATTTCTGCTAGCAGTGTGGTCTTCTGCTGGTCAGTTTCTTGTATCCCAAACCCCCACAGCTAAGAGGCTTCTTAGGCCTAAAACCTTTACCACCAGCAAATGCAAACAAAGGAGTTGCATCTGCAATTCCTATGTTGCAGATGACAACATTTTTTTTCCAAAATATATAACATCCCTTAGAGCGACAACTACTAAACAAGTGATTTCCTTTAATGGTTACTTCCCTCAGTCACAGCTGCAGGAGACTAGCCTTTAGCCAGAGGTACTGAACATAAACAAGCATTGCAGTTTTCTAGATTGTATTAGGAAAATATGAGATTGTACTTCCCTGCGCTGGGACTACCTGAAAAGAAAGGCAAAACTGCCATTGTGCCAATGTTGGGGTCCCCTGCCCTGATGTTTAGTGTCAAACATACTTAGTAATACTTTAAAGACCTTTGGGATACAAAATTCAATAAAGGCCTCTATTGGAACAACACAGTGGTTCAAAATGACTTGTATTTAAGATTTAAACACTGGTAAGAATGGTCCCATTCATCTGTTCCAGATGAGCAACAGGACAGGCAGGGCAAAATATGCCCACTTATCAGTTGGAAAGCTTGGAACTATTAGAAGTCTTTTATTCTAATAGTGCAGGAAGCTTAACTGGTAGCAGAAACAGCAGCAGCCCATTCTTAAAAAATCCATTAGGAACCCGCTGTTTTCAGAGGGGCATTCTGTCTATGCAGTGGTAGTTTCTGCTCTTCATCATGCAGCTCTTCTTCTGACTGTGTTGGGGTTCCAAGAGTTACACACTTATGAAAGTCCTTTAGCAATTGTACTTGTTTACTGCGGACGATGATATGAGGCCGGATTTTAGCAATAGCTTCTATTGCTTCTTGAGGAGTCCACTGATGGACCTATGAAGGCAGAAAATCCAAGTGAAAAAAATGATCTTCTGATGTAGGAAATAGCACAATAGGAAAAGAAAATGTTTCCATGATTACTCCCCATTTCAATGAATACCAATTGTTCCTTATCTTTGTGACAATCGTGAAAAGGTGTTTTAATCTGATTCTAATGGATTATTCAATAGTTACTTTTTTATTTTTTGGGCTCTACCAGAAGGAGGATAGCTTTTTATTGCTTTCCATTCAATAACTAAAGCAGAATTTATCTTCCTTGGACTATATATGCCATCACAGTCCAAATATCACAAAATGATAGATGCTAAGCTTAGATCAGTATATTGTTCTCAAAACTAGACCACTTACGGCTAATCAAAAATGCTGTACTTGTTTATTCAGTATCTTAGGGTGACTGTGCCTTTTCTTCCCACTTTTCAAATAGCAAGGGGCTTGTAATTACAAGCATTTTCACATCAGTGGAGAAATATAAATCCCTAATCCATTCCAGTCATGAGGAAACTAAACAGTCATTGTCATTTCCTGTCCCCAAGTGTCACAACTAATAAACTAGAATTTTATTTATATCTGCATTGGGGGCAGAATAGTAATCACAAAGACTTCTAGATCTTTTCTGAGTAGAAATTCTAGTACCCATTAGCTGTCTACCATAACATTATCTATAACATACATTTATTTATTATATTTATATGGCACCTTTCTCTCAGAAGTGAGACAGAGTGGCATAAAGAATTGTTCAGAAGAAGTAGAAAATTAAAGTACAGTGCAATTACTAGTGTTAATAGGGTTAAATTCATAATATTAAAATTAAAAAGCTTTAAAATATTTGGTTAAAAATGTTAATAATACTAAACAGATTGAGGAACATCTTGTAGTTTGCAGCACTTAATTTCCAAAGGCCTGACTGAAATAAGATATAAATAGATGCTGAAGACCCACTTAAAAGAAATGATTATCAATAAAGTGTTCTTCAGTCATTACTAAGTGTGAAATATTATGATGAGTCACACATTGATTGCCATATGTCACCTATGCTATTGTTACTTTGTAGACTAATAACTTACATTATTCACAGTCAAATAGCCTATTTAACAACCTATTGTCACTTTGTCTATTATCTGTATTTATCTGTCATTTTGTCTCTTAACTTGGTCATGGGCCATGGATAAATATGGCAGTCATATAGTCTCACTCTTCTGAGGAAGTGGACTTGATCTATGAAAGCTCACATAGAAATGTAGCAGTTAGTCTTCTAAGGTGCCGTACCGTTTTGTCTTTTTTTGTTTTATATGCCTCAATAAAAAGGGCTTTGCTTGCTGCTAGGACAGCAGAAAAGAAACAAACCTGGTCTACAGTATCTTGGCAAGGAGTTTCAGTGCCTAGGTGCAATCACCAAGGACCTCTCTTGAGTTGCCATCAAACACACCTCTGAAGATAGCAGAGCCATGAGCAGGGCTTCTGCAGCAGATATTAAAGTTCTGACAGGCTTCCATGGGACGATATGAACTTTCAGATATTTATTTAGTTATTAGATTTATATACCACCAATCTAGAATGTGTCTACTCTGGGCGGTTTACATAGAACATAAAAATAAACTAAGGTAAAATCCAGATTAATCACAGAGTCCAAGACGGGAAAGGAAGAAAAGAAGAGAGAGAGAGAAAAAGAAAAGGGGAGACAGGCTAGGTAATGGCTGTAGGGGAGGCTTGCCTGTATAGTCAGGGCTGACTAGTCAGCCAGAATCTGGTAATGGCTGTAGGGGAGGCCTGCCTGTATAGTCAGGGCTTACTAGTCAGCCAGAATCTCACGAATGGCATCCTGGAATCCAATAGGATCCAGTAGCCTGTAAAGGCGGACCATGAAAAGAGGTCTCTGCTCCCCACGGGGAGGAAGGGGCACCGTGAGATTGCACTTTATGTGGTGGTGGTCTGACCATGACAAGGGGACCAACAAAAGGTCAGTCACCATTGGGCCACACTCTCTGCTCAGTGGAGAAAACCAGGTCCAAAGTGTCGCCACCCATGTGTGGGGCCATCAACATGTTGGGACATGTCCAAAGAAGCCATTTTTTTCCAAGAATTCAAGAGCTGGACTGGTGACCTCCGCCTCTGCAGGAATGTTGAAATCACCCAAGATTTCAAGTCTCAGGGATCCCAACAGAGCCACGGAGATGAAGTCAGTTAGGGAGGTAGCTGGATCGCAGGGAGCACAGTATGCGAGCAAGATCCCAATACCATCCCTGGCCCCAAATGACACGTAGAGGGCCTCTAGGCCGATCATTGCCACAGCAGAGAGCCTGAAAACCTCAAGGGTGTCCTTATAAACAATGGCAACTCCCCCCCAACCCTCCAGTCTACCCTGGTGCTGGACAGCATAACCAGGGGGACAGGCAAGAGACGGGTACACCACTTTCACTACCCATCCACATCTTGGTTATGCAAGCCAGATCTGCATCCTTTTCCAGAATAAGATATTGTATTAGCTGGGCTTTATTAGATACAGACCTGGCATTCAGTGACACCAAAGTTAGAGTGGAGGAGACTGAACATAGCTGTATGAATGGGCACCTTGTGGTTCTCCAGAAGCTGTTGGACTGCAGTTCCATCAGCCCTGGCTAGAGGGTAAACAGTGAGGGGTATGACAACCCAACAGCATCTGTAGGGGCATGCTATCCATCTGGGCTTCAAATCACTTCCAACTGATGGTGACACAATGAATTAGTAACCTCCAAAGGGTCCTAAATAACAGCCTTGCTCAGTTCTTGCAAACTCAAGGCTATAGTTTCCTTTATGGAATAAATGCATCTTATTTCACTCTCCTCTTTTCCTTGCTTCCCTCACTTTTTCCCAGCACTGTCTTCTGCAATGACTAGTCTTCTCATAATGTACCCAAGCATGATAGCCTCAGGTTAATCATTTTTGCTTGGTTTGATCTCGCATCCACTTATTTGAAAACCATATGAGACACAAACCCTCCTTACTTGAATTAGATAAGCAGCAACCATGGTTGCACTGCGAAAACGGCCAGCTTTACAATGCACATATACACTATTCCCACGTTCACGATGCTTCAATACAAACTCAACGCCTTTGTGCAGGTTTTCCATGGAGGGGACTCCAGTCAAGTCTACAGTGCTGAGGCGCAGGTGTTCTACTCCCATAGCCTTCCATTCCTGCAGTTAACCCAGAAGACAAAGTTAGTTATAAGGGGGGAAAGGAAGACAAAAACAAAACCATTATTCTATTAGATAGAACAAATCTCTCAGGAAAGTGGAGCTGAAACAATTACTATTTTTTTTAAAAAAATGTATGAATGCTGATAGAATATCCTAAGAGGACTGCAAAAGAAAAAAGAAATGATGGAACAGCAAGTAGTTGGATGTCATTAAAGGAGATAAAAGGATATAACAAATTAAGGTTGTGAATCAAATCTTGCATATTCCCTGCTGCTGATTGCTAATATGACTGATTTCTGTGTGAACATTCATAGATCAGGCAACTGCAATTCATGTAGATGTTGAACTGTCTTGTATTATTGACACTCAGAAGGCATCCCCATCTCTCTGGGCTACAGTGGAGTTGGTAAAGGGCTCACCTCTGGAGAGCAACACAGAAAACGAGTCTCATATTCTTCATTCATAGTGAGCACACCTCGGACATTCTCCTCCTCCACCAGCTGAAAGAAGAAGGATCAACCAAATGCATGTTACTATTTTCTGTATTTCCATATTTGTGTCAGTCTTTCCCAATAGTCACCTTTTTCCAAAAAGGGGCTTGTTTACCTTGCACACATTCCCTCTGAGCCTAATAATAATCTTGGAAACACCCAGAAATAACAATTACATTGTGAGCACAGCAATTTATTAATTGCTTGGAGAGAACAGCCCTGAAAGGAGGCTGCCGGAAAGAAGGCGCAAAAGTTACACATAAACATCTTGCTTGTTCTTAAAAATAAGGGGAAAGATTAATTTTTGCCATATCACCAAATCAAGTGTTAGAAAGCATTAAGGCCCTCCTCCCCCCCTAAAAAAAGGTACATGTTGCCTGACTTGAGAGATACACAGTTTCAGTTTATAAAATACACTGTTAGGAAAAAAAGGTACATTCAGTCTCCCAGTAATTTCAGTCTCCCAGTAACACACATAGCCCCACAGCTTTCTGTATCTGTTTTGAACCAGAGCATAAGGCAGCTCTGCTTTGGAACTGTGCAGCCTGAATTAAGATGTTTCAAGATCAGACTGTTACTGTGCTGTTGCCCTACCAGAAACATAGTATTTAATACTAGTCTTTTGATATGCTTTAATTTGTATTCCTTTACTGAGCAAGGGGTTGGACTCGATGGCCCTTTCCAAATTCATGATTCTAATAGCCTGTCCAGATGTCTCCCTATAAGTAATCTTGTGAAGGGTTTTTTTTTTGGGGGGGGAGGATTGCTCCTCTCCTGAAACAGCCCAGAATAACTCCAGGTAGTTTTCCATCCGATTAGGAGGCGCTTCCAAGACATGAATTTTTAGCAAGGTTCAACTTATGAAATTATTCCACCTTTCCATACCGGATGTCTTCTGGTATGAAAACACCACAAAAGAAATGCGGGGAAACACACGAGCACTGCAAGAGGAGAATGATGCTTGGCCTGCTAACCTTCCCTTTTTAAGACAGCAAAAGAATGAAGCACCCTCACTCAAACTCCTGTTGGCAATTACACCCTTGCAATCCCTTTTTTCCCTGCCCCTTGCTTCGTGGGGCAGGATCCCTCAGTTACCCCACATTTGCACGAACCCTGCAGCTTTACAGGGCAGCCTGGCAAGCAGAAACCCTGCCCACCAAAGCGAAGCCGCCTCCGCCTCGAAGGGGCAACCCGTCGTCCTCCATGCGAATTATATCCAAATAAATTGCGCCGCGGATGGGGTTTCGCTTCTGAAAGCCTCCGTAGCAGAGGTTCGTAATTAATTTAGTTTTCACCGGTTAAGAGACACTCGCCGCCCGCCGCCGCCCCGCCTCAGCACGCACTGAAAGGGTAGGGAAAGGGACGAAGAAGGACGGCCGTTGAGGGCCCGCCGTTACCTGGCGACATCGTCCCCTCAGAGGCAGGGCGCCCAGGAGCACGGCGTGGTCGATGCGGCTGAACCAGGGCCGTTGTGAGCCCGGCAGACGCTCCCGGACCAGGGTGTACAGGAGGGTCGGGTAGTAGAAGAGCCGGGCAGCTCCGGGCCCCAGGGCGGTGAGGAGCACCATGGCCAGCTCGGCCACGGCCTCCCGGCACCGTCGGGCGGGCGGAGGAAGGCCGTCGGAGGAGCTCATTCTGGCCGAGCGGGGGGAGGCGGCGGCGTCATCATCTCGGCTAACCCGCCGGGCTCACGTCGGGCGTCCTTTAGAGGGAACCCGAACGGCTGCGCCGCAAGGAAGGAGGGAGGGGAGGGGCGGGCGAGGGAGAGAAGAGCGCGCACATTTGTAGTCGGGGGCAGGGGGGGGCTTCTCCTTGTCACGCTCTATCTCCCCCTCCCCACCCCGCGCACCTTCCTGTTGGTGCGCCTCTCTCCCTACCCCTTGCGAATGATCTCTTCCGGAAGTGCCGCCATCTTGAGAAACCGGCCTGAGGCGGAGGGAGCCGAGCCGAGCGCGGGCGGATCCCCCTGGGGCAGGCGAGGGCGGCGGCCGCCAGGAGGAGCCCGGGAAGGGCAGGGAGGGGACAGCGCGCCACCGACGGTAAGTTCTCTCCGTCCGCCTCGCTGCCTGCAGGCTGCCCCTGACTGACTGAATTTCCTCTGGCTTCTTAGGAGGAGTCTTTCTCCTGAGCTGGGCCTTGCTAGGAGCCGAGCGGCGTCCCTTTGCCGTGCCGTGGCGGGAGCGCTGTAGAAGGAGGACGAGGGTATTCTCCGTCCCTTTCTCTCTTCGCCCGAAGAGGTGGGGGGGGTTGGTTTTGTTCGGACGGGCCGCCAGGCCGCCGTGCCTGTTGCTTCCTGGGAGAAGGGGGCCGTCCTGTGCCCCAAACGGAGTGAGGAATAGCAAGTGCTGCAGGCTCTCGTTCGCTTTAGTGTGTGTGTGTGGGGTGGGGGAACCGCGGTTGTCTATATTTTTTCTCCTTCCCGTCTTCTGGTGCTCCTGAAATAACTGCTAGACCAGACAGTCCTGATGGGGGGGGAGGGAAGGGAAGGGAGGGCGGGCTCTGTCGCCGGGAGTGGAAGGGGAGATCGTCTCCCCGGGCTTTGGCGAAGCAGCCCAAGTTAGCGTCGTCGTCGCCATCCCCGGGCAAAGGGGGGCGGGGCAAGCCGAGCCTTCTCTCCTGGAGGCCGCTTCGGGGCTCGACGCTCCGTTAGGGAGCTGTGCCGTTGACCCGTAAAATACTCCACTCTTATTCCACTGCCCGCCCCGATTAAATTAATCGTAGCACGTTCCCTCTTTGTAGACTGAACATGTGGTATATTCCTCGCTATTTAATGGACCTAGAGTATGTGGGGGGGGGAGAGAGAGAAGAGGAGGAGGAGGTCGGAGTTCCTAGAAGGTTGGCCACGTGATAAGACTTAAATGACGATTCTCTGACTCTTTGAGGAACGCCTGGCTAGTTAATAATGGAAGCTTTTTTTCTTCTTTTTTTCTGGTGACTTGGTTCAAGTTATGCTAGGGCGTTGGGAATAATGGGATATGTTTCGGTCGGTCTTCCCAAAGTAGGGGAGAAATGAAGCGCGATGAACTTGAAAAGAACATAGACCCCCGGGGTGGGGAAGGTAGCGTATAATTATGAACCTAGATTAGGGATGTAAGAAAGTGTTTTGGAAAGCCAGAAAATAAGGTCATAATATAGGAGAGGTTAGGAATTATTATTTTCTTCACATTGGTGTTATTGAGTCCAGTACTGATATACTAATACTTCGACAGTTTATTTTGCATTTTCTGTTAAGGAGATTCTGCATACTTCTCTGTGAATTTGTAACCTTATCTTTAGAAAACTGGTCTTTGATTAAATATATTTTCTGGCTTCTTGAGCTACATACTGCTTGAGTGACTGCAGGAACATGTTTAGAACTGCAGTAGTTTATTCTGGAATTTGCTGGCTACGTTTTTTCAAATGCTTATAAACTAATTCTTTCGGAATCACATGCTGTTCCTGATGTTTTGCTGTTTTCTCTGAACATGGGAGGGAAACAGAATATTGGAAACTGGTTACTAAGGGTGGAGAAGACATTGACTTTTATCCACCCTTTGCTTCCTTGTTGCAAGGCCTTACCTCTGTGTCTTGTACAGTACTGTAATGATCACTGCAGCTTGTGCTGTGTCTTGCTGGGCAAAAGAATATTGATTGGAAATGGCCATCAAACAGAATGGTTTCTTCTTCCTTCAGATGTTAGTGTTTTTTCCTGGGCAGTGGTGAGGAGTTTATTTAAACTCAGTATACGTGGGTGTTTTTTTTTTAATCATGTACTTATTTACTTGTATTTACCAGCAAACTTTGTTGTCAGGTTTGGCTCATGGAATTTTTCATTTCTATATGCATCTGTTCTTCCCACGAGGAGTTCATCTCATAGGAAAATTGGATAGTGAAGTGGGGTAACACAGAGCTAATTTGGACACTACTAAATCTTTGAATCGTAAAGGGATAGACTATTCTGGCCATTAGGCTTGAACTCTTCCACCTGCTACAGCATGCTTGTGGGGAGGTCCCCCCCCCCTTTACCACTGCAAACAGTGAGTATTCTTAGCTGGTTTGAAACAAACCAGCATCAAACCATGTACTATAAGACTGACTTATTTTCACAAGCCATAGTTAGAATTAACTGAAATCTTCCTCAGTTTGTGTCTTCCAGATTCTAAAAAACCCAGTAATGTGATATAGCAGTGCTTATTAGAATATCTGGAGGGCATTTCCCCAAGGAGCATTGATTTAGAGTTTGGGCATAATGTTTGGACAAATTTCAGTAGATCAGAAATGCAACACAATAATCAGTGTTGCATTGACATCTGAATTAATTTTGATGTATATTTAAAAATGGAGCCTTCAGATATCAAACCTTAACACTTTTTGCCAGGATTAACTTCCTTTTAGTAAATGGAATTCCATTTTAAGTACTGTCATAGCTGATTATTCTTTGTTGTTTCTTGAATATATGAACTTGAAACATAGAGGGCTTCAGAGGAGGTTCATTTTCCCTCTGTTCTATCCTGAGGGTGAAGGGCAGATTGCAGTATATTCTGACATACTTTTCTCTCCTCAGAGGTCCTTTAGAGCAGTGGTTCTTAACCTTTGTTAATCAGATGTTTTTGAACTGCAACTTCCAGAAACCCCAGCCAGCACAGCTGGTGGTGAAGGCTTCTGGGAGTTGCAGTCCAAAACACCTGAGTAACCCAAGGTTAAGAACCAGTGTGTTCTGAGCAGAGCAACCTAGTTAGCTTAGTTTAACTGTAGCTTAGGACCAATGCAAATAATTTAACATGCCCACCCCACTTTTCTGTAAAATATCCAAGACAGCTAGAAGCAAAATCAAAAGTAACCATAAGTGGAAGAAATTAACAGAAATAAAGCACCATGTTGTGTTTTTTAAAAATCATTTTAAAGGGTCAAGGAAATGTGTCCGTTTTAAGATATCAACGTAACTAGTAGAACCTGATAGAAATATAAGAAAACACATGCAGAAAAGTTAAAAACAAATTGTGTTGGTGCCCCTCTGCACATGAGCAGGGCCTGCCCCTCATGAGCGTGCCCCACCCATCCGTGAGCCCAGGGGTGCCTCGCCCCCCAACTGGTCCGCAATTCAGAAAAGGTTGGGGCCCACTGCTGTAAGCAACTTCTGCATACATTTTTTTCTCCCCTGCCCCCAAGGATCTTAAGGCAGAGATTCAGTATTGCATGTAGGGGCAAATACAGTTAATATATGAGTTAGTTTTATGTGCTTGTAAACTAGTGAGTAGAAGATTGTTATTTAAGAGCAAAACAGGAATGTATCTTTCTATTGAATTTGTGCTCAGAATATACTAACAGCAGCAAACTAAGATTTGTTTGAAATATCAGTGCCTCAACCTGTACAGAAGGAACAAAGGGATAACAGACTCCTTAGAAGAGGAATCCTATAATGAAGAACCTGCAGATCTAGAAAGTGAAGTGAAACTGCTCAGAAAGTACTAGAAAGAAATAAAAAGAGCTCTGCTGGATCAGGCCAAGGGCCCATCTAGTCTAGCTTCCTGTATCTCACAGATGCCTCTGGGAGCACACGAGACAACTAGATATTGTGTCTGTCTCCTAATACCCCTCCCCTGCATCTGGCATCCCCCAAGGATCTTAAGGCAGAGATTCAGTATTGCATGTAGGGGCAAATACAGTTAATATATGAGTTAGTTTTATGTGCTTGTAAACTAGTGAGTAGAAGATTGTTATTTAAGAGCAAAACAGGAATGTATCTTTCTATTGAATTTGTGCTCAGAATATACTAACAGCAGCAAACTAAGATTTGTTTGAAATATCAGTGCCTCAACCTGTACAGAAGGAACAAAGGGATAACAGACTCCTTAGAAGAGGAATCCTATAATGAAGAACCTGCAGATCTAGAAAGTGAAGTGAAACTGCTCAGAAAGTACTAGAAAGAAATAAAAAGAGCTCTGCTGGATCAGGCCAAGGACCCATCTAGTCTAGCTTCCTGTATCCCACAGATGCCTCTGGGAGCACACGAGACAACTAGATATTGTGTCTGTCTCCTGATACCCCTCCCCTGCATCTGGCATTTTGAAGTACCTTCCTTTTAAGTCTGGAATTATACATCCCTATCACAGCTTGTAATCTGAGGTGGACTTTTCCTCCAGGAATCTGTCCAATCCCCTTTTAAAGGCATCTAAGCCAGATGCCATCACCACATCATGTGACAAGGAGTTCCGCAGACTAACAACATGCTGGGTAAAGAAATATTTTCTTTTGCCTGTTTTCACTCTCCCAACACTCAATTGAAGTGAATGTCCCCTGGATCTGGTATTGCGTGAGAGGGAAAAGAGCTTCCCTCTATCCATTCCCTGCATAATTTTGTATGTCTCAATCATGTCCCTCCTCAGGCACCTTTTTCTAGACTAAAGAGCCCCACAACTAGCCTTTCTTCATAAGGGAGGTGCCCCAGCCCGGTCCTCATTTTCATTGCTCTCTTCTGCACCCTTTCCAGTTCCACAATGTCTCTTTTGAGGTGCGGCGACCAGAACTGTATGCAATACTCCAGATGTGGCTTTATCATTGTTTTGTACAATGGCATTATTACGTAGGCTGTTTTATTTTCAATCCCCTTTTTCATGATCCCTAACATGGAATTGGCCTTCTTTACTGTCACCACACACTGGGTTGACACTTTCATCGAGCTGTCCACCTGCACACCGAGATCTCTTTCCTGCTCCATCACAGACAGATCAGAACCCATCAGCTGATAAATAAAGTTTTGAATTTTTGCCTCAATGTGCATTACTTTACATTTTTTATATTGCCATTTTACTGCCCATTCTCCCAATTTGGAGAGAGCCTTCTGGAGCTCTTCACAATCTCTTTTGGTCTTCACCACCAAGTTTAGTGTCATATGCAAACTTGCCACTGCTTATCCATGTCTCCAGGTCACTTATGAACAGGTTGAAAAGCAGGGGCCCCAGGACAGATCCCTGGGGCACACCACTCTTCACCTCTCTCCATTGTGAAAATTACCCATTGACACCTACTCTCTGTTTCCTGGTTCTCAACCAATTCTCAG